TAGATAAGTAGAGCCTTTGCATTCATTTACATTTACATAGTTGCTCTTCAATTTTAGCCCCTGTGATCCGCATCAGGAGTTTGCCTTGTGAAGACAACCATAAGCGCAAACTACAAGACTTGGATAAATTTCACGCGGCCTCACGCCGCAACACGCCGTAGTGCGCGACGGGCTGGTCACTACAGATGCGATCGGGATATTGTGACAGCGACAAGCATCGCCGAACTGTGGCGAAATTAGGTGTTGTCAGTCGATGGTACGGCTATCCCCTCGAAGAAGAGTCTCGTAATAAGACCCCCCTCTACCGCCACATGGAAGAAGGTCTCGATGCACGACCCTCTCCTCTTCCAAACAAATGCGACCAATAACTGAACCTTCCCTTCAAGTACGAACCCCCATGTGTTATCATACAAACCGATGCCTCTTACTCTGTGTCGGTAGAGCGAAGTGCAGCATGCACTGTGCGCCCGCAAGTTGCATTTTAGGCGGAGCATGGAGGAATCAAGCTACCCCACGGTCCTGGATTCCTGTTCCTGCGCATGTTTGGACGGCAGACCCGCTACGCGTCGACAGCTGGGGCCCTGGTGAGCGTGCGTTTTGAGTTACCACTTGTTCACTTCAAGTCACACTTCGACACTTCAAGTAACTTCAGAAGAACAGTTTGCTGCGCGTTATTTTTTCTTATATATTTATTATGATGCCACGACAGATGCGCCTTTCATCACTTGGGTCGTAATAAATCGAAGCGAGCTACAATCTTAGCTAGCGCTGAACTGGGGTAACATACAATAGCTAAAATAGGAATAAAGGTCCTCAGCCAGATCTTAGCCAGAAGCAATAAAAAATTAGCGAAAAAGCCAGTCCTTCGCCAATTGTAGGTGTATGAATCGCGGTAACTCTCACTTAGCAGTGTAGTGTTAAAAATCAGCGGCCTGTTATGACGCGAGGGAAGCGTCACTCTTAACGACCAATGATAGAGAAAACTGAATATCTTGGGTGTTAGAGTGTCTCCCTATCCCTAACAAATCCAGCTATCCTACCCGCCAACTCTGAGTTGTTAACAAACTAGGACTTCCAGCGGGCCTGACAGATTGCCCCTGGGTGTGGGTTGGACATTGTTGATAAATGGCCAAACGAACTAGCGAGAGACTCCCACCTGTGAAGTACACGTTTGGTTTCAAGTAAGATGTAAGATTCCGAAAAAAAAGGTAAGTACTTACAAACTAAAGAAACAAAGAGAAACAAAAAGCACAAGCCGGCAAAATAAAAGAATGAAAGCATGAAGAATCAAAATCTTCATTCATTTTTCTTACAGTCCAGAATGAAAAGCCGAATTGTCACAGCTTTTCATTTTGGGACTGAACTATAGGTTGTGAGTGCTGACGGATTAGAGGACTACTCACTGAAAAGATAAAATCAAGAGACTTGGGCTGGACTTAGACAAGCAAAAAAATCTTGAATACCAAGAATAGATAACTCAACTTCCCTCAGCTTGCTCTTGAAAAGCGCTGATGCTTCTGAACCCATTTGCCATTCCATAGCCGAAAGGAGCTGAAACCATCTCGTCCCATGAAAGAACAGAGAGGTAGAAACCTTACTGTATTGTTTTTTTTCCTCTACTTCAGGGCACTGCAGAGAGAGCTTGAAGCAGCGCCACTCAACAGGCATTGAACATTCAGACTAGCGAGAGGGGAGTTGTATATCATGACTAGAGCAGTTACGTGCGTTCATTTTACATGAGTTTGTGAACGACTATAGTACGCCCGTAGGCCATGTAGCGTCGCATGGCTACTACATACCCCCCCCCCCCCCCCCCCCGCTCGACAACTTTTTCGCCGAGTATAAACCACAACCACAGTCAGCCATGTCAGCCATCGTACGAGAGCATGGGGAGGCGAAGGGAGGGCGTGGGCGGCAGGGGGTCCGTACCCAACAAACAACACGGGAGGGGGGGGGCCGTCGTAAAAAGCATCGACCAAAATCCCCATACAGAATGCTCGTGCCTGTAGCCTTCGGGACCCATATTCCAGAATAAAGAAAGGATGTAACTTTGAATTCAAAAGCCGCTGCAGGCATAGCAACCGCCACAAAACCAATTGCTCGAATCAAACAAGGCATATCATCTTTATCTCTTATATATCTTTTTTGATGTTGTCTCGTGACCCTTCCATAACCAGCGTTCAATTTGGCCAGAAGCCATCGCTAGGGTCGCAAATGGCCACTGGGGAGGAAGAGGGGGGGGCGTCAATAAAACGGGTCAGCGTGACCCCCAAACAGCAGAGAAGTGTCATAGCCAAGTTCGTTGGAGTGGACGGAAAAGTGAAGAGGACCCAGATGTGAGGAAGACTACAAAATTTCAAAACAACTGATCAGCAATATCAATAGTTAGCATGACCTCGTAAGTAAATGGATGACTCAGCAATACGTCACAGACAGAATCTGCGTAAATCGAACCATTCAAACCCTATAACAAACATGCTGCATGGACGAAAAACCCCTCAGATTAGAAACGACACCTTTCCAGCATCCTCTGCGTAGAAGCATAATGCACGGCGCACACACGGATCAAAAATCGATCGATGATGACCAAATAAACATTTGGAACTCAGTTCAATGGAATATGTGGTTGAAGGCACGAGGTAGAGCACGTTTGCCCGAACGAATATCCTTTACCATGCACAGAGCGCGGTGAGATTTTATTGAGTTGGTTCAGAATGTCGCACAAAGCCGACCTATCTAAAATATCTTCTCAACCTGCGTGTCTTCAGGAAAATGACGGAGCTTTCCAGAAGAAGAAAATATCGGACGTTCTGAGGGCGTCGGAAGTTTCGCGTTCGGAAGAAGTTATTCTGAACTGAACATAAAAACCCACTTGCGATTAATTGTTGCGTAACAGTACTAATTGATGCAGTAAAATAAAGCAAAAACCGATCGGACGCAAGGGAATCACTTCAATATGAGCAGACCGCTCAAAAATTATTTTGGAAAACGATGCTAAAGTGTTGATGCAAGAATGAAAAGGGATAAACATCAAACTCGTTCACTTTCATGACCTTGAAGTGTAATTCATTAAAAAAACCATTTCCACGGCCATTATAAAGACTAACTTTGTAAATGATATAAAGTCACAATCGATCTGAAATTTCCATTCGAAATGATACTGTTCACGATGGTGCTATTAGCCGTATGTACCGTATGCGATTCGTTCTGGATGGACTGCTGCTATTGCTGTTATTGCTGTTGCTGTTTTGGATGCGCATCCTATCCGGCATATTATCCAACCTACTCATCCTATCCTTCATACAGAGGAGAAAACTATGTAAGGGACAAGTACCCTGAAAGGAATCATCTCCACGTCAAACCGTACACAACAAGAAAACGCCCCTATAACGGATATGAACGTGAGTTCACTTTGAACTTCTTGAATCACAAGCCCGTGACCAGAAATTGCGCTTGAGGCTACGTTTATACTTTGCGGCAGTGTCCACCAGTGTCCACCACTGACTATGGCACATCATTGGTTGGAGATTTTGATCGAGTCCGTGAGACTCCCTCCCCCACCCCCGGTTCCCTATTCATCGCCTCATCGAGGTGTCGAGGGGGGGGGGGGTGGGAGGGGTATCTAGTGCACGTGAAACAGTGAAAATCACGAAAAGTCAGGCAATCTCTCTCAGAAGGGAAATACGACCCGCAACAACGAACAAATACGATCTCGCCCCCTTAAAGTCAGTGGAACAAGAGAATTCAACTGTCAGAATAAACTTTTTTTCGGCCTCCCCCCTCTCCCGGCGGCCAAGTGTCACCTCCCCCTGTTGGGGAATCTCCAACAACGATGTGCCTTGCCACTGACGCTCTGGGTGTCCGGCAGCCCAGTGACTAGGAAAGTACAGATATCGATCTAACGACCAGCAGCGTCTACCAGCGTCGAGGGGTGGAGAGCGTGGGGCGACAGGAGGGTACCAGACAGCTGGTCGTATAAGGGGGGATAAAATGATAGCATTCTATTGGCAGAGAGTTTACGGCGATAGGGGTGTAGCAGCTGTCTGCTATAGCCCCATACTCTCCACTGCTGGAAGCTGCTGGTCGCTGGTGGACGGTGGACGCAAGTGGACGCTGGTAGGCGATGTTAGTCGCTGAATCGACAGAACTACCTTTCTGGTCACTCACGCTGCCGGGCGCTCAGAACGATTTTCATGAAAACAGATATCACGATACGATCTACCTTCCTCGCGGCAGCTTACGTCTACTTCAGAAGGCTGAAACAGACTATTGATAGACGCTCTGAGCTACCTATCGTGCGTCCCGTGTAGAAGAGCGTATGTTGGAAAGTATAGGAGTTGAGTAAGAACCTCAGAAGGGAGAAAACTCGGAGCTAAATTTTGCCTTTCCACGCAGAATTGGACTTTCTCACTAGCAGTTTTCTTCCCAGTGTGCTTGAAGGCGAGTGGCACGATAAATTCTCAAGACGTGTAGGATGAATACTCCTAGCAGGACCACAGTTTGAGGCCTCCTGGGATGGACTGCTTAGCACCATTTTCAAGGAAGGTGCCCTAGCGCCCTATTAAGCTACCGACCGGACGCCCACCGCGCCTGCCCGCCTCCAATTGTCCGACCGATGGTGGTGCTAGTACCGCTCTATTGGTGAAGCTTTTTCGCAGGTTTTTGACCATTCTACTTCCTCATTTCCCTGTTTTCCCATTGTAGCATCCCTGCTACAGTCTTGAACAGCGTACCAAGTTATCATGCCCTATGATGCCTTTAACTCTAACGCTATTTAACCACTCTCTTCCCGTTGCAGTAGAGGGACCAGCTGGTATGCCCACCGCTTCCAAGATCGATACGGGGGAAAATGTGAGATATCGAAACGAAAACAGGCAGCTGGCAAACTCGTTAACGTAAATGACCTTGCGCTATGATACTCTGACAAAACAGTTTCGCGAGGCTTATCAAGGCTAACTCCAATTGATAAAAAGTCATTACTGGCCGACGTTTACATCCACATGATTCCATCAGTACTGCTACTATCGTCCGTAACCTCCGTAGCCAGTTTGTTCTGGAACGGGTGCTGTACATCTGGTGGTTTTTATGGATCTTATGGCTCCTACGGGTACACAAACCATTTGTCCTACACGCCAGCCTACTCGTCTTATTCTTCGTACCTACCATATGGCGGCATTATTATCTGGTACCCGGATGCGCTAGAGTATGTGAATCGACGATTGCGTGAGTACTACAGCACAGGATCTGGCTACGTCTACAAAGGTCGAGGTTCGAGGGACAAGTATCCCGAAAGAAATCATCTTTACGTAAGACCGTACACACCGAAACAGCGCCCCTATGGCGGATACGCACGTGAGTTAAAACCAACCCTGATTCAGCACTCTTGCACTTTATATTGCTGTTCTGAGGCTGTCGATATGAAGGATAGGTTTTCCTCCTGAAAACAGGGAGAGAAGTTGCCGAAGGCTTTCGTCACTGAAGGGAAATATTGGGTATTGTTCGCGCGGGTGTAGGATGTGTTAGGAGGGGAGATGGGTCTACTGGTGCGCCAGTCAGTTTTTTTTTCGTTTCTTCTTTTTCCAGCGAGCGACGAGACCCCACCACACCGTTCGTATCATTCGTTTTCTACCAGTTTTTCCAGTTCCCGTTTCAACAACTGGGGTAGAACGGGCTCGCAGCGCTCCACATCCCGCCTCACTGACACATCCCTTCATCCGCAGCGAGCAAGACTGCGCATTCCAACGTGGTTGAGGCTGCGTTCACAGTTCACATCACAAAGATGAAGATTTTCACAATGCCCAATTATACAACCAAAAATAAGTCATCATAATGATCTCGCGGTGATCATTTTTTTGTTCACTGGCCTCTCCCTTTAGAAGTCCCCATGTTTCTTTCACTAAGGAGTGCCTTCTCGTTACAATAGTTTCCACAACCAGTGGTGTATTGGTGCAATCGGAGCCATCCGACATCATGTAACAAGCAGTCTCATCCAGAGATTGTAGATCATGCTGCTGGTACACTCCTGCATGACTCTTGCACCTTCAGCGTTTTCTAGTAGTGTGCTTAAACTCTGTAATTTCATTTATTTCCAGAAAAATATGTAGCAGCTCCACCTCCACCGCCTATTGAATCTATTGCACCACCGGCTCCACCATCGGAAGAAGAGTTTGATTATGAGGCACCAGCACCAGCTCCGAGCAAATATGCCCAGAAATCAAGGCCAGTGAGTGCTACTTTTCATGCCGCAGTGTCCATTGGCACGGCCTCCTCTTAAACGAGTTCTGAAGAGTATTCCAGGTTGAGCCATTGGAACCAAAATTCAATTCCCATGCAGCCGCTGAAACGCTTTCAGAAGGTAAGCAACCCGGCATTCCATCTTTGAACCATTTTTCATGGCGACAGTGTTACAAAACCGAAATTTACTATACGCACATTCGCAGTTCACCTAAGGTGGAGTAAACAATGGCGAGATTCGGCCTGGTGGGTGTATTTCGCTGGTTTTCTTTGATCACTGCCAACGCCTCCCGAGCAGACTTGTGAATGCCTGCAAGGTTATGCAATAGCATGAGCTTCGTTCACTTGACAAGGTTTCACCAGGTGGGGACGTTTGATAGGAACTAGCAAAAGGAACCTTCCGCAGGTGCAACAATGCCCCCTTCTCTTTAGTTGGGCATTGTAGAGGACAGCTTATTCTCAACAGGCACATCGTTGTTGGGGATTCCTCAACAGGAGGGAGGGTCGTATTTGGGTTGAGAATTTTTTCTCGATAGTTGATTTTCTTTTTTTTTTCAGGGACGTTGGGGTGAGGGAGAGGTCGTTTTCCCCTCTGAACGATGCTGATTAGAGGCGTGGCTGACTTTCCTGGTTTTTCTGCTTTCATGAATTAAGTGTAGTGCTCTTCTCGGAATCCATGCCAGGGCACAGGCGCGCTCGATGGGATTCCCTATGGGGGGTCGTATGAGGGCCCGCCCAAAGGCGGTCGGGGGGGGTAGTATTGGGCTGGGAAAAATTTATTTTTATAGTTGATTTTTCTCGCTTTGCGGACGTTTTGGAGGGGGGGGTCGTATTTGCTCATTGTTGGGAGGGGGGTCGCTACCGCTCTAGTCATACATAGAAAAAGCGTGGAGCGGAGCGGCGGTATGTGTAGTTAAGCATGCGACGTACATCGTACGAGCATGGGGGGGGGTCGTACCAGCCCCTGAAAAAAGGATGGGGGGTCGTAAAAGCTCGACCAAAATCCCCATCGAATTGCTGCGCGTGCCGCATCCCCTGCTCAACAGCAAAACTCTTGAACCCCCTAAAAAAGGATCATATGGACTCGACCAAAGCCCCCAACTAATGATACGGCCTGGCTCTCAATTGACGTTTTCTAAAAAATGCCCAGGATATTGTTGTTTTTGCCGAGGGTATTAGGGCGTTTCGGGGGGGGGGAAGGGCGGGCGAAGCTCCCGTGCAAGACTGAGTTACCTTCATGTTCACCGTTCTTGAAACCTGAACATTTTTTGTAAAGGGGTCTTCTACAAAATCTGTTGGTACAATATACAACACATCAGGATTGACGCCACCTGAGTTAAATCACGGCAGCTGGGACTGATTCACCTACCCCGCACCTCCTATCCCCTTCAGGCTCGGGCAACGAAGCTTAGCTCCATCAAAGCAATTCCATTTTTGCACAAGAAGTGCTTTAAATGTCTCCTATCCCCATAAAATTAATCGCGCAGTGTAGTTATTCCTGTAGCAGGATGCCAGGATAAGTGTTAGGCAACGAGAAGCATTGAGACCACCTTCGGTCGTCATGAAAAGGTGTAAAGTAGCGAAATGTATCACCTTGTCGAGAACTCCATCGCAAAACTGTTTTATAAAGAGTTAATGCTAATTTGGTTGCGCAAATGATAGGATTAGATGGTGTTCTTCTCAAGGCTGAGCTACTGGGTGACATTATGGTCTATTCGGTAATCAATAATAAATATTGGGGAAGGGGACAGTAGGCAGTCGTGAAAGCTAAAAATGAAGCAGTGCGGGATTCATTCCGTGAAGGACAAAAGCATCTACAGTCGCTCTTCAAAGGATGACTTAGCAATTAACTGACGTGCAGAAACCCTCCCCTTCATAATCAAGGATATCCGACCTTCGCGTCTCGAAAGTGTTTGAGAGGCATTTCGGCAACGGGGACGGACATTTTGCACTTTGCAGCTTCCCATCAACGTGTCGAGCCATCTAGAGAGATCAT